TTTATAGTTAGCTCTGATAAATGATAGTAATCTGAACTAGAGAAGAAAACTTCAGTTTGGGAGGGCAGAAAAGGAAAAGAGGAATAGTTGAAACTGTTTATACATCTAACCTGGGTTTTATTTATAGTCATTCCAGCAGAAAGGCATCAAGAATTTTGGATAGATAATATTTCCAAACATGTTGTCGTCTTCTGCTGCTTCATATCTATTGTCTATACTATGCAAAATTTCAGAATTAACACTTTACAAAATAATTTCTCTCATTTGTGTTTCTTTACAATGTAACTGATATAACTATAACAATTTGGTCTAACACAGCAAGAGGATAGGAAGTGGACAATAGTTAATTTGGGGGTCTGCAGAGAAATATACAAGTAGAACTATTTTAATCAAATGTTTCTATCAACGTGGTAGGCAAAAGAAATACTGAGTTGTGAAAAGAAAAAGTCAGTAGGTTAAAATTATTTTTACCAATATGTTGCTACTTTAATGAAGCTGAATTACATCACGTAATGTTTGGGGTCCTATATTGTTTTGTGTAGGAAAGAAACCAACACCAGAATTCTTACAGATTTGGGGGTTTAAGCAATATGAGTAGCTAGCTGTGAAGGGTGCTATAAAAGTGGGAGGATGATAAAAAGAATCCGTAGTATGTACAATTAAATTGGAACAAATTAATATCAAGGGTAAGGACTGATGTACAGTATGAAGAGCAAGGAAAAAAAGAAAACTAACAAGAAAAACGAAATGTGAGGTTGATTAATGAAGGGAAAAATAAAATACCTCGCATACCAAATTCCTAAAAGAATAGAAAGAAAGTAAAAATTAGATGACTCCTAGACCTTAAATTTAAGAGGGATCTGCCATAACCAAGCGGATATGACAGAAGCGGTAGAGTTAGAGATGGAACAGATTTTGATGGCTTGTGGGTTGTTTGAGCATTTTCTCTGTAACAACTGGAATCACTGCTGCCATAGCAGTTCTCTAGTATTGTTTCCACCGCATTGGTGGGCAGGATGATAACAATGATGAAGTTGAAATCTTGGATTACTGTAACACACACTACAAGAGGCTGCTTCTGAAGACTCTTCACAAAACACAGGAGGTGCAAACTGCAATGGCTTACTGTTGAAGGGTGAAAGCTGTTCAACAAGATAACGCCTAGATTGCAGAGACCATATTGATTATTAACAGGTTCCTGAGTAGAATTCCAAGCACTAGTTATTGCTTATTCAGCTCTTCCTGGATCACATTCTAGGTATCTGAGGTATCATTTGCTCCATATAGATTTGCCTATTCTGTATATTCATGCCGGAAGGTTTGCTACGGATTTCTAGTCTTGAGAAATAAGAATACTCTGAGGCCCGGATTCATATTTTATATTAAATATAAATAGAGAAGATCCAGTGGAAATGATTAAGGCACATATTAGATTGGTTATTTATGAAAAGTTCAAGCTAGACAATTCTGAGGAAGATGAAAAGGTCCTTACTGCTGTGAGCTCTGCCACCTATTGTCTGGGCTTATGCCCCTTCTGTCTGGTTAAGGCTTCCTGAGAGTTGGCATTTCCTTGGGTACAAGCAGTGGTAAATGACTCCTTGCAGGTGGTGATAGTTCCTTCAGCCTTAAAATAAGCAGGGGTTTGCCCCTCCTTAAGAGATTATTCTGACCAATAATCTGCCGCTCCACAACATAGGAAGTCCTATCAGGCATCATAGCTGTCAAGCTGCAAGATCATATGGGGCAATATATAAGCACTGTTCAGAAGGGCACTGGAAACACATTAGAGACTCAACACCAATTGGTCATAGATAGTGCAATCACCCAAGACTCAAGATCTAAACAGATTAGAGCAGTCTGGATTGACTGTAGGAAAGCATACAACTCAATGCCACACACATAGATCTACAAATGCCAGGTGCTATACATAATCAATAGAAGATTAAGGACTGTTCTCAATAACTCAATGGGATTGTGGAAGACAATACTGGAAGTCAACTCAAGATAGCATGCATAAGTGGCCATCAAGTGCAGCACATATCAAGATGATGCATTGTCCCCGCTGTTCTACATAGGCTTGACCCTATCAGCTAAATAATCATAAGGACTAAATGAATCTATAGTCAGGACATAGGGATATCATTCAGACTGAAGTTGTATAGATGGATGGTACTTAAGAAAGGAAAGGTAGTTATGACTGATGGGGCAGAACTACCAGCGGATCACATAGTAGACATACAGACTAACTACAAGCACCTTGGGAACCATGGTGAGGAGGCAAGGAAAACAGCAATATCTAACTACTACCAAAGAATAAAACAGGCCCTGAAAAACAAGATCCACACCATCAATATGCATGCCCTACCAGTCATCAGCTATCTATCTATCTGGTATAGTGAGCTGACCAAAGAAAGACATGGATGCAAAAACCTGGAAGCTCCTCACAATATATGGAGATTTCTAATTCAAGTTCAACATCCAGAGACTATACATTAGTTGAATGGAGTTTGGTGAGTGTCAAAGACAGCGGAAGTATCCAGTAGTATGTCAATAATATGGCACACAATGATGAACTGCTGAGAAAATGGCTGAGGTAGCAGCAGGCATGGAGGAAGATCAAGTAGATGATGTGTCATGGCAAGACAAGACCTTGCATGGGATGTACCACTGACAGATACCTAGGGTGGCTGAAATTGGGAAATCCTATCAGTGGTACTATAGATCTCATGCCTTAGTGGACAACACTAAGGCATGGCATTCATAGAACAGTACATTAGCCAGTCATACTGAAGGTACAGATTGTGTTGAGAGACCTCAGAGACAGTCCAATTAATACATAGTGGCAGAGTATAAGATTCAGGCAGGAGCAGCATATACTGAACAGTACAACTAAGTACCTTACATCCTGTACAGGAACATCTACACATAGTATGGGTTAGATCCTCCCCAGGCCAGATGGAAGATTCCATAGAGGGTTATGGAGCAGGGTTAAGATACTGTGGAACTTCCAGATCCAAATGGACAGGATGGTACTGGTCAATCAAACAGACATCAGGGTAGTAGACAAGGACTAGAAAAACAGCAGTGGTAATAGTTGTAGTGGTGCTAAATGACAGCAACATCAATAAAGAGTATGAGAGCTGGAGAAGTACCAGGGCTGAAGGAGGGATTAGAGAAGACATTGAGAGAAAAGACCAAAGTGGTAGAAGGAGCACAGAGGGGCGACTCTTAAGCTGTGCGTATGTAGACAGATGACAAACAAAATTTATTTTCAGGGTATCCTATACATAGATAGAAATGTTTAAAATCTTCAGATTTCAGTGTAAGAATTCAGTGCATTGGTATTTGTTTCTTCATTAGATTTATATTTGAGATTTTTTTTGCATAAATCAAGGTAGTATGCATTATGCTTTCTCTGTTTTCCCTTATAAAAACCCTATAGGATAATTGGACTAAGATAAAATGATGAGCCCAAAGTCAGTCAATTAATATATGTTTAACATTCAGATAAGTTTTCAAAGCCAATAGACACTGAGCTGTTCTTTTTCTGCCATGTTTTATGTAATATGAGGGGAGATTTATTTCAGTCTATCTCAGGATAAGTGATATTTTACTGTATAATTTATGTTTATCTTTTTGTATACTGCCGAAAGCCTAGTAAGATTCTATTGATTCTTACAATTACTTCTGATTAAATAATCTAATTTTGTTCTAGATTTTCAGCTAAAATCGTCTAGAAGATCATTATTCTAGATTCCAAATCAATGTTCAGGGAGTTCTAGCCTCTATACATCTGATATGTGTAGGTATGATGAGATAGCAAGAACAGTTTTGTGAAATTCTCCCCCTGGAAGTTGAACAGAATTATCTTTCCACTATTTAATGCATTTCTGTTCTAAAGTGTTGGCTAGTTTAACACTTTTTTGAGCTTGATCTGAAAAGCATAATAATAATAATAATAATAATAATAATAATAATAATAATAATAAT